ATGACTACCTACAATACTCACTTTGATAGGGTTTAAAAAGCACTCATATTAGCATATAATCAATTTATCTCTACTGAAGATGGTTTTAAGCTTAACTATCAGTTAAATGAGTATTTTTCCTTCAAAAGGATTCGTGAAAGGGAATTCGTGGAATAGGACCCGCCACACACTGACAATCTTTTAAAGTTTTTTATCGTTTCACTAATGACTTCCCATTAGTGTTACACATAAGATGCATTAAACCCTGTAATTAAGGATTCAAATAAATAAAGAGGATGATATCTAAACTCATACCGAACAATTCACTGGGATTTTATATCTTGTTCTTACACTTAGCAATATGTGGGATTCGAACCTGCTTACATAACCAATTATAAAGGAAATGCCACTATCCCCTGAACTGCCACCAACGTATATATCCGTCTCGCTAAACGAGTGCATTAAGTACCCTGGACATTATATCAGTCTTTCCAAAATATGATCCTTCCCTTCACGCCACTATCAGTAAAACTACTCCTAAGATTTTGGAATGCAATAAAATGATCATGACAAAGTTTGCGATGGATTTATTTATTTAAGAGAAAAATTTTCTTATACTTGCCCTTTCTTCATCCCCCCCCCAGCCCAATACATCCACGCCCATGTATGAAAAACGGTGGCATTGGACAGCAAATCGCGTAACTTTTAATTGGTAGTTAAGGGTTAACAACTGTTTTATCATGTACAACAGTACATTCACCAGTACAAACCTTTGAGATGCATGATTTTATTGCTATTATGTAGGGTTAAAATTTATTTTACGGCTTCCTTTCAAAAACAATACTTTTAGTTAAAGGGATATTTTACACTATTCATTGTCGGAGTTCAAATATCTCTCGTTGGCAAGGTGTGGAAGTTAGGTGATGGAGGTACTGGCTCTGGTGTCGTCCTCATCCCTTAACAATGGTTCAAGGTTACGGTGTCCATTGTCAAAAACTATCATGTTGCTTCAGAGCGAATCATTCATAAACACTCACTTACACACAAGACTCATTTTTTTATTTTCAAATTCATAATATGATTTATATCTTTTTTATTTTATCTTTTATGATAATTTACTTCAAAATGTAACGAATTAATATAAACTTTCGTATAACTATAATTATTGAATTTATTTAAATATCTTTACTCTAATTCTGATTCAAATAACTTAACTCAGTGGCTCAACAGCCCATGTGGACCAAAGCCTGTTGTACCCAACAGTATGCGTGACCTTAGGCCTGAGGTGCATGAACAGATGTTCTAGTCAGATGGTCAGTCTGACGTGAAACCCTCAGTGTTAAGTTTCCAAGAAATCTTGATACTCATTCATTCACCAACTGCAGGGATGAAAGGCTGAGTCTATCATTCCCATCCGGGATTTGAACCTCAGACCTGTGGTGTGGAACTGTGATGCACTAACCACTCAGCCACTGATTCATATACTTCATTATTATTTCTGAAATTCCATAAATAGCATTATCTTAAAAATAAAATAATAAATGTACCCAATAATTTCATACATTAGCTCATCAAACATTTTAATCCATAGCCAACATTGCTTTTTAGACTTCATTTAATATAAGTATTTTTACAGCATGTTTGAACTGGTATTTTTTTTTCTTTGGCTACATAAATTTTTTACTGTTTACGATAAATATAAATTAAATAACAAAATAACAGTACCGGAAAATTTATTGCAATTCATAACATTGCTTAAAATATATTTAGAAATTGAATATTGAACATACAATATATTTTAATTAGCTCATTTAACACTTTTAACATTTTAATCCATAGCTAACATTGTTTTTAGAACTTCAGTTAATATAAGTACACTGATGAAATGAATTAAGAGACTTTATATATTTCCCCGAATTGCATGAAATGAACTAAACTGAAAGAAAAACCACTGCTTCTAGATAAAAATGCAAATCTTGTACGGCAAATATGTAAGCGTACACGTGTGGGTAGACAGAGCCAGCGGAAAAACAGGCTTTATAAGCGCGTGTAAGTTAAGACGTATTTCGTGCGCCAGCACATCTCGGCGAATTCCTTGGTGTTATTTTGAAACAATCGGTTGAATTCAAATTGTAACAGTAAAAATGAGTAGCCACCAACGTTTAGATGATGGAATGAGCTGGAGAATTATGGAGAGGCTAGAAGCAAACCAATGTCAATTCCAGATTTGCTGGGAGTTCAATTCAACGTTCCTAGTTGTGTGTCACTTATGGAATCAGTTCCAGGATACTAGATCCATCGAGAGAAAGCCTGGGCAAGGTCGTTCAAGAACCACGATGGCCAGAGAAGATCGCCTGCTGTTTGCGTCCCGCTCACCTCTACGAACAGGAGAGTCCGTTTAGCATGGTGCAGACAGCATAGAGATTGGAGTATGGATCAATGGGCAAACGTTCTCTTCATCGATGAGTCTAGTTTCAGCCTAAACACCTATTCTCGCCGTACGTTCATATTTAGATAACCAGCGGTCCACTTATCATCTTTTTATGTCCGGGTTGGGTTGAGTTGAGTTGAGTTTGGTGTTTTATGGCGCAAGAGCCAGTTTTGGCTATACTGCGCCAAACATTCATAGGTCTGTGGTCTGGAAGGGAAAAGAAGAAAAGGAGAAATTAAATGACAAGGTGGAGGGTCAAAAATAGAGAACAATCACTGGGGTACCCGGGGTCGTGACACCCGTGTTTGCCAAAGATAGTAAACCCCTTGGGAAAAGGAGAAGATCCCTAGGGGACCTCGGGATTGTGACACCCATACCCACCTAAAGAAGGTGAGCCCCCTGAGGGGTTCGTATGTCCCGGAAATCGACAATTATGGTGGAGGAAGTTTAATGGTCTGGCAAGGCATCATGTTGGACAGTCGTACACCTCTCCATGTCTTTGAAAGAGGCTCTGTGACTGGTGTGAGTAATAGGAATGAGGTCTTGGTGCCCTATGTTTGACTTTTCAGGGGTGCATGTGGCCCCGAATTCATTTTATTAATTGATAACGCGAGGCTACATAGCGCTCTTCTGGTCGTCGAATTTCTAGAGAGTCAGGATAATCACAGTATGGATTGGCCAGCCAGGTCTCCAGACTTCAATCCTGCAGAGCATGTCTGGGACGCTCTGGCTAAGGCAATTGTAACACGCAAACTCCCCCCGAAACCATCCAGGAAATGAAAACAGCGTTGATGAACGAGTGGAGCCATTTAACACAAGAACTACTAAACTGCCTTATTTCAAGTATAACATCACGCTGCGTGGCCTGTGTAGCTGTAAGAGGGTTCCATACCCTCTATTAACTCATTTCGTTTGTTTATTCTGCAACCACTGTTTCGTACCCTCCAACTCCAAAGAGTGTTACGCACGATCATGAGTGTGTATTACAATTGTTGAATTGTTATTTATTTTGTATTGTATCAATGTATGTACATATCAGATTTTATTAAAATTGGCCCGTTAATTCTAAAGATAATCGATCAAGTTTGCAAATTTTGTTAATTACTTATACCAGTGTATTTTTACAGCATACTTGAATTGTATTACTTTTCTTCCATTACATATCATTTGCATTGCTTACATTAAATATAAATGGAATAACAGAATAAGAGAGTATTGGAAAATTTATTTCAATGTTGCAATTCGTAACATTGCTCAATTTAAAGTATATTTAAAAATTGAGTATCGAATATCTAATATATATATTTTAATACTCAAATCAATTTTTTTTTTACAATGAACGTTTGAAGAAAACTCCTTTTTAATTTATTTCCTATCCCTGTCAAATTTATTTTTATTCCAGTTGAAGAAAAAATTATTCCAAAAAAATATTAATTTAAAATGATACTTACAATTCGGGATTTCTTTTATTATTAAAATCTGAACACGGTATTTTTTCAATCTATCTCTTCAACATTATATGCTTTATCGTTTTTGAAAGAGAAACATCATACAAAAAAGTGAAATTTGAAGGAAATATCTCGGAAAAATAAAAAAAGCGAAAGTCTAAAAGGATTTTAGTTTCTATAAACTGAAACTGTCAAAACCTCAGTGGATGAACCCATCTGAAAAGTTGTTCATGTTAGGATGTCCTGGAACTTCGCTGCAAAGTACATTGTTTATTGAATTTTTTTCAAGCTCAAGAGTTGAATCTTCAGCTTTCTTTATTCTTATATTTGATTTCCGCAGACAAAAAGAGTCTTTAGATTTTTAGTGCTTTGAAAAAAGTTAAGTCAGTCATGTAAGAGAGACATGGTTTCCTCCAAAAAACGAATTTTCTAAAGAAAATAAAATTCTTAGTGACAAGTTTGTCAAATATGTTTCCAGAAAATCTTCATTGAGAAAAGAACTTTTGAAAAGCAGCGCGTGCACTTCGTTGGAAACTGTTGATTTGGATTTTATCGGCTCTTTCCTAAATTTAATATTTCATAAATAGAATAATGTATTATTTGTATTGAAGCTTAACTTGAGTAAATTACTTTTACATCTTTACAATTTGTGCTGATTTTCATTTTCTTAGTTAAGCAACAATTATTATGACGTTTGAAATATTTTAAATTTAGATATTTTTCTATTGAATTGTATGTTAAATATAATAAATGCATCTAATAAACAATTATATGCATTTAGTTCATATTCATGGCTACACACTTATAAATTTATTAAAAAAAACAAGTAATATAAAAAAAATATTGTTAAGTCAATTCCTATTTTGGTCAATAAAGAAAAATTTTATTTTAGCTTTTTTTTATTTTTTTAGTTTTTTTTTTAATTAAATAGTTACAATTAATATAAATATGTATATACATATGACAGAATCACAATATTAAGTGACAAAATGAAAAGCCTTTTTCAATGCTATTTTCCCTTTTTCTTTCAAAATATGGTGTTGAACTAATTTTTTTTCGTTACTATTTATTGGTTAATTGAATTTAATTGTTCTAATAAAATAGTATAGTAAAATAAGAAATCACATTCTCAGAAATTAGGTTATCCCTGGTGGGATTCGAACCAATAACCTTTGGATATGAAGTCCAACGCGCTGTCCATCACGCTACAGGGACACTACGAACAGTTTTCCTTTCTATATACGCTGTTGAACTATTATTTTTGTTACTATTTATTCATTTTTAAATTTGTTTATGATTTAATATTTTTTTTTTCAAAAAACTGTATTAATATCAAGTGTCATCCACTACAAGTCTTAAAAAAATGTATTTAAACTTGAATGGATGAATAGAATGTATTTTTTTAACGATTGAAAATTTGAACAAGATATATATATATATATATATACAAAGAGAGAGAGAGAGTACTAATAGTAAGAATTGAAAAATATTATCAAAATAGCTTTTTGAGTTTGTATTTGTTCCTTATATTTATTATATTTTACTATTTTTTAAAATCCTTTAGAACAGTGTTTCTCAAACTTTCAATACTTGCGACCCAATAATCAATCAGCATTTCCATCGCGCCCCTCTTCCATACAATAACAATGTTTTGAATTCAATAAAACTATATTTTGACGCTAATGCTACAATACGATTTTAACCTCTTAAGCGTCACTGGCGTATATATACGTCTTGATCAGCCAAAACGTTTATTGTCCTGGGCGTATATATTCGTCGTTCCGAATTACGATCTTTACTGTGTATTTCTATCCATAAAATTATTCAAAAGGCTTTGGAATGCAATAAAAGGACTTTGACAGAGTTTTTCGAAGGATTTACTTATTTCAGACGATTTGTTTATTTATTCCTTTTCTCCCCCCCCCCCTCGCCTTCCAATACATCAAATGCGCCACATAGCGCGTCTACGTGGAAAAAAGTGTCATTGGGGAGTGAACTGCGTAACTTTTAATCAGCTGTTAAGAGATTAATTACAAACAGTACAAATTATTATAAGATAATTGTTAATTTTTGTGTGTAATTTTATATATAACAAGCTCACATGGGTCACTGGTAATTATTAAACTTGTTCTTAACTTGGCATTATTAAATTAATTATAAAATACATCGTGCAGATACATTTATAAGTTTATTATATCAGTTTACATGTGTATTTTACTTTTTATTATGTCAGAATGGTCTTTTTTGTTTACTTTAAGTAAATTATATATTTTAAAATAATTTTTTTGTTTTCGACTGTTCTAAATGCTCGCGCCCTCCTCATAGAACTATCCCGCCTCCCTAGGGGGCTCGCCCTACAGTTTGAGAAACGCTGCTTTAGAAGCAGTTATTAGTTTAGACACACACACACACAATTTTCAAGAGATAAATAGAAATTTCATAATTTTTGATGTTGGACTATTTGCTGATTTAAAATTTCATACTGATATAGAAATTTTTTTCGTTTAAGTATAATTTAATAACACGAATCGTTACAAAACAAGCAATACTATCACGTAGTTTTGAATATTAAAATCCGTTTTAAAACGAAGTTGTGTAACATCAAATACTGGAATGGATTTACCCAAGATAACTCGCTGCATGAGATTTTCCTTTACGCAGAACAGCATTTCACTTCTTGTTTAAAGTATGGCTGTGCTTCTCAAATTTTCAATATTTGCGACCGAATATTCAATCAAAATTTTCATCGCGCCCCCCCCCCCATACAATAACAATGCATTAAATTCAATATTACTATACTTTGACGCTAAACCTACAATACGACTTAAACCTCTTAAGTGACGTGGACATATATAAATTTCTCGTTCAGCCAGTGCGTTAATTGCTCAGGAAGTATATATACGTCTTTCAGAAGTACGATCTTTTCTGTGAGCTGCTATCCATAAAAAATTTTTTCCGAAGGCTTTGGAATGGAATAATAGGATTTACTTATTTCAGAGTATATGCTTATTTATTCCTTTTTTCCCACCCCCAATACATCACATACGCCTTCCTACGTGGAAAACGGTGGCATTGGGGAGCGAATCCTGTTTAATGGTCATTTAAGGAATTAATTATTAACTGTACAAATTATCAACATAAGGGTTAATTTTCACATATAATTTTACATATGACAAGCTCATGGGAGTTCACTGGTAAGTATTAAAAAAACTTATTCTTAACTTAGTATTGTTAAACAAATCCATATACATTGTACAGTACTGATATATTTATGAATTATAACAGTATAAATGCGTATTTCACTTTTTTATTATGTCAGAATGTATTTTGTTTGTTTACTTTCAGTAAATTAACTTTTTTTAAAATAATCTTTTGTTTTCAACTTTTCAATATCCTCGCGCCCACCTTGTATGGTTATCACGCCCCCTAGGGGGGTACGCCTTACAGTTTGAGAAACACTGAAGTATGGTGATAATTTCTGCTTTTCTCCTGTTCATAAAGAAAAGGCCAGTAATAACATTGTTCTTTTCAAGCTGTGTGCTCTCCAAGTTAACAAACATAGCAGTTTTTCATACACAAAATTATTTCAGTTAAAAATAAACAAGAAAGGAGGACGAGAGACGTAATTGTTGATTAAGTAATGTTTAACTTTTAAATATTGGTAAAAGTTTCAAAGTAGACCGAAAATCTCACGAATGACTCATATGCCAGTAGTGCTAATGAATTCTCAGATATAAATGAGATAAGTGCTTTAGAAAATTCAAAATAAACCAACTACATACATCAGTGATATATAATTATGTTATTATATTCATTGCACGGTTCACACGAGAATTTTCAACATTTAAAATTTCGAAACAAAATGTATTAAAAATGTAGTACTTGTTTTGTTCAAAATAATAGGCAATATACAGATTCTTACTTTTCATAAAATATAGAAAATCTTTTAATCAACTATTCTGTTATAAATATATATCTTTATATATATATATAGATATATATAAATATATATCTGTTATAAACAACTATATCTTTTCTAACTCAGTAAGTTAACTTTGACTACAATCTCTACTCTCTCTTTCTAACTTCCCTCTTCACTTGACTTTAAGTTACAACTCTCATTAACATAATTCATTGGTCTTTTACAGAGGGAAAAAAAGCCGTTTTATAATCATATAATGTTCTCGAAAGAATTTTTTCACTGGAGAATTAGTAAAAATCGCAAATAGAACCCGTTAAAGATTTTGCTATTTTATTCAATCTGGAATAATTTTATTTATCTTTTTCTACACACAGGATTTTTAATTATTCCACAACTATCCTTAAAAATCTATTTTCATTAATAATTAGCAATTATTATATACAATATTATAATATTTCATTAATAATACCTTTCATTCGTTACTTACCAGCTCTTATAAAGCTCGCTCTATTCTCTTTATGAGATTTTGTTAAAGACAAATATTTTTCAACCTGTTGGATATGAAATTCTAAGCCTGAATTCGTATTAAATGAAACAATGCAATATGTTTATGTTGACCTTCTAAAGAACTCGATGAACAGTGCTAAGAGATGAAGACCACTATATCTGAAGAAAAAATATTTTCAATCAATATATCTAACCTCTCTCTTTCTTTGATCTGAAGTTTGCTTAGGGAAGGGGGTTCTATTTACTTATCTGCCATACTCACATTATTGACCATATATTGTACAGTAGGTTTTGTTAAAGGTATCCGACTACGTTTGGAACCGTGATTTTTCAAAAAAGCGTATAAATGAATAATATTTATGACTCTTAGTGTCAATTATATAGATTAGAAAATGTATATAAAACTGTATTACGAATAGTATTACAATAAAAAATTATTTAAGTACAATATTTTGACAAAAAAACGAACATAGAATGACCCATTTTCAAAATATTCACCTTTTGGGAAAAATGCTTCTATTATAAATAGAATTTTTGAAATATATAACTTAGAAGTGAATTTATCTATGTTTTACGACAACAGAGGGGAGAAATCTTAAGAAAAAAACGTCGGTAATTATTTCAAGTGGTTGTAACTCTGAAAATAATGTGAATTTTTCAAAAATCATAGTTGAGCCTCTGTACAGAGGTCTGAGCTATATACAGCCAAATTATTATTATAATAGAAGCTTTTTTCACAAAAGGAGAACATTTTGAAAAAGGGTTATTCTAAATTAAATTTTTAGCCGAAATATTGTATTTGAATAATTGTTTTTGTCAAAATGTCCTTAAAAATATTTTATACATGTATTTCTAATCTAAGTGATACTAAATATCATGAAAAGTATCCATTTATGCGCCTTTTTAAAATCACGGTTCTGAACGTAGTCGGATACTATAAACACAGACCCCAGTAGCTATTCCATAAAGATCTTTCTGGCTAGTTATTTAGTAAATTGGACAATACATTTCCAGTTCATAATCAAAGTTTGTTTGTACGTTGATAAGGAATTTTACTCTATGTGCGGTGTTTTCTGCTACAATTTCATTTATAATGACAGTGATTTTACCCAACTTGGTATAGATGGTGTATGAGAAAAATTTGCATTCCAAAGTTTCATAACCCAACCAAAATGACTGGTATTTCACCTGTTGTGCGAGTTTAAAATAGAACTTTTTGACTGATAATGTATAGAAACATTATATATATATGCAATATATGATGTATATTTTAATTTTGTGTATTATATTTAGTGCTTTTTATATTTAGACTATAGTGTACACAAAACCATTTGCAAGCACTGTAAAATTTTTTTGAAGGGAATTTAACCATTTTCAGGGTCATAAGGTTACTAAGAGTAAACATTAGTATGTGAAGATTTATTTTAGTGAACGTGGACGTAAAATAAATAAAAATCATAAAAAAATACATAAAAATGTGTATTTTTTTTATCAATATTTCTAATCAATTTGAGCTTTTCAGATATTTGTTCAAATATACTGTATTATTGCATATAAATAAAATTACCGAGTAATATAAAGCATCTATAAGAAAGCACAGTTATATAATTTTTAACCACTCAACAAAACGAAAACGCAATAAGAATAAGAATATACCCAATAAATGTTTTATCATTGACGTCAATTATTTTGACAGTTTTCTTCTGCTGAGCGAACCAGTTACCGTTATTGCGTTCCGCACATACGTTTTATTTTGACATTCTTATTAAAAAATGCAGATAAGTTT